AAACCCCCCCCCCCCCCCCCCCCCCCCTTTTCGCTTTCCAGACCGAGCTTGCGGAGGAGTCAAAGGCGGAGGCGGTGGCGCAAGCCCTCAAGGCGGCCGGGAAAACTACCATCCCCGTGCCCCCTCGGGGAGGCGACGCAGACCGCGGCAACACCGACCAGGGGGCGGCGAAGAAGGAGCGGGAGCAGAAGCTGCACCGCCTCACGCGGAAGAAGCGGAGGCGGATCCTCGCCAGGGAGGCCGACGAGCGGGAGGCGAAGGAGGAGGCGGAGGAGCTCAAGGCGCAAGGTGGGTTGTTGTGTTTGAAATGTTGGTTGTTGTTGTTGGTGGTGGTGGTGGTGGTGGTGGTTTCGTTGTTTGGTCTCAAGCCCAGGGTGGGGTGTTGTGTTTCGGATGTTGTTCTTGTTGTTCTTGTTGTATTTCGTCTTAGGGCACGTGGGATTTTGCTTGGGATGTTGTGTCGGTGGTGATGGTGATGGTGATGGGTTTCCGTTGTTTTGGCACGGGCTAAGGCTCAGGGTTGGATTTTTTTTCGGGCGTTGGATGTTTTGGTTGTGGTGTGAAGGTTTCGCTGTTCGGCTTTGTTTGAAGCTGCTGGACGTTGCTCTCGCGGAGCTTTTCTCCGGAGGTGGTGGCTTAGGTGGGTTTGTTGCTTGGTGTTGCGCTTTGCTACAGGACGTTAGTCTTGAGGAGCTGGCTACCTCTCGTATGTCCCTTGTTACGCTCTCTCTTTGCGGCTTTCAGGAAAGATGGGGTGAGGTTCGTGTATATTGACCCCCCTCCCTGTTTTGATCCGGTTTGCTGACATTCCCTCTTTTGACCTGTTTGTTGCTGGTGCTGTGTGTCTCGTGTTTGCCGGCTTCCTCCCTCCCTCCCGTGTTCTGATCCGTTTGCTGACGTTATCTATCTTTGATCCGTTTGTTTCTGATGCTGTGTGTCTCGGGTTTGCCGGCTCCCTCCACCCCGTATTCTGATCCGCCTTCCGACAATTCCGTCTTTTTTCCCGCTTGTTGCTGATGTTGTGCGTCTCGTGGTTGCCTGCTTTTGCTCCCTCCCGTAGGCAAGTCTGTGCCCTCCAACGTTTCCTCGAAGTCGATGGTTCGCGCCGCGAAGAAGGAGGCCAGGGAGGCTGAGAAAAAGAATGAGGATAAACCTCTCGCGCAGGTAAGCATTGGTCCGAAAAAGCGAAACATTGTTGGGCACGAAGGACAACATAGTGGTGTTTTGTTTGTGTTGTTTGTTTGTTCCTTGAAGTCCGAATGAATGGATGGATTTTGTTGTATATATCTGCTTGCTGATTGTGAACCCCCCCCCCCCCCTCAGTCAGCTGGTCGTTGTGGTTTGCGGGTACTCTCGCTGTTTTTTCTGGAGAGAGCGAACGTGCGTTTGGTGTTTTCGCTGAGACCGGCGTTGGGGCTCGAGAGAGAGAAAGCAGCCGCGCGCGCAGGTCGAGGGAAGCGGCAGTGGCATGCTGCGACTCGGGTATTGGACTGAAGACTAGGACAGCAGTAATACATATATCAGGGCCGAAAAGCGTGTTCTCCGTGTATTTTCGAGAATCTCTCAGCTCGAAGGGCCGTGTTGTGCTTGCGAATAGTCATCATGCCCTTGTTCCTGTGATCGGCCTTGCAGTCTATTCCCCCCGGTGCATCTATCTGACATACGTTTTCGTTGCCTGGACGTGCTTCTGACCGTCAAGCAACCACTTGATCTGACACCAATTTTGGTTGCCTGCGACATGCTGCTCTCTTTCTGACTGTCGACGTTAACATCTTGAACTACACCGGATTCCGCAGCTGCGTGGTGCCAAGAGGAAGCTTGATGTCGGTAGCGGGTCCGCTTTCGACTTCGACCTCAACACGAAGAAGGGGGGGGCGGCGAAGGGGAAGGACGGCGAAGGAAAGGCGGCTGGGGCTGCGGAGAGCCGGTAGGTCGACTTGTTGTTGTTGTTGTTGTTGTTGTTGTTGTTGTTTTTTGTGTTGGCGTTGTTTTCGTGGTCGATAATGGCAGTTGTTTGTTGTCGCTGCTGTTACTGTTCGTCGTGGTTGTTGGTGTTGTTATTTTTGTGGTCGATGGTGGTGTTGTCTTTGGAGTAGCAATCGTCCTGTGCATACCTACTATTAATACTTTCCCTTTTGCACACGTGGAGTTCTTTGACTTGTCCTCTAAAAACCCAAAACCAAGTTATTGTGTAGTTTATTTATTTAGATTTGAACCCTCTATTGGGTAAGTTCGCGTATGACCACGGAAGGCATCCGCGTCGGTTGGACAAGCACAGAAGTTGGAAGGTACTGAGGAGGAACCGGAATGGTTTTTAAATGTCAAGACAACAACGCCCATTATGTTGATTTTGCTGCTTCTGGTTGCTGCTGCTGCTGCTGCCGACCATGCCTTTTCGACAGGTACAAGTTCACGGAGTTTGATCCGAACAAGCGGCTCAAGAGGGGGGCCAAGAAGGGATCAGCCAAGTTCAAGTCCAAGTCCAAGTTCAAGCGAAAGAAGTAAACAACAGTGTTAAGCCTTACTGCTGATACAGTGCTGGCACAACGGTAGACGAAGTTCAAGCGAAAAAAGCAAGTTGTGTCAGTGCTGCTGCAGCAGTAGGAATTTCAAACGAATGAAGCAAATGTCCCGGTGCTGACACAGTAGATGACGTACAAGCAACAGAAGTAGACAGTAGTCGTGCTGAAACAGAGCAGAAGATCAGATGAGGATGAAGCGAAGAGTCAAATTGTCTCGGTGGTGAGACAGCTGTAAGTGAGTTAAAGCAAAAGAAGAAAATTGTCTCAGTGCTGATACAGCAGTCGATGACTGGTACAAGCGAAATATGTAGACAGTCGTCGTGCGGACAGATGGACGTCGCGTGCTCGAGGGTATGTGTGTTCACTGCGGGCTTGTTTTGACGCGGGCATACATATCGGCATCAGCATGACATCCGCCAAGTCAAGTGCGATCGTTTTCGTCAGGCGAAGGGAGACGAACTATGGGTTTGCGAGACTGGTAATCACAGTCTTTCTGGGGTTTGCTGCTGAGCTAGCTGTCTTACTCCCAGTAGAGGTTTGATGATTTGGGTGATTCGTTGCCGAATGCGCTGCTGATGATTTGGGTGATTTGTTGCCGAATGCGCTGCTGATGATTTGGGTGATTTGTTGCCGAATGCGCTGCTGATGATTTGGGTGATTTGTTGCCGAATGCGCTGCTGATGATTTTGGGTGATTTGTGGCCGATTGCGCTGCTGATGATCTGCTGGCTTTGTTTGCTGACTTCGGGTAGGTTTGCCCCAAGATAGCCAGCCTCGAGTGGCCGAGCTATTCACGAGTGACCAAGCTATTCACAAACACAAACATCGTCTTCCTGCTGGTTTAGAAGCAACACGCCGAGAATGATGACCCCGATTTCTCGAACGAACTCATTGGTGCTGTTGTGCAAGCTTGGCCAAGCAATACGGAAATGGAATACCACCGGAATGGTTTTCCGGAATGTTTTTCCTTCAACGCGTGATTAAGATCCAATTGTATGGGAGACTCACAACATCCGTATCTCGCAAAAAATTGTTAACTCTTATCGTGCCACTCGAAGTGTTCGTGGGATTGGAAAAGGAAATCGGGCGGGAGGGACATCAGTCTGCTGCCGTGCCCCCGTCATGAAATATGCCATTCACTTTATTTTTCTCGCGGTTATGATGCGCTGAGAGTGGACCACCTTGCATCACCAGCCTCAACTCGTTTCTAGCCTGGTTGTTTACAAAATGCACCGTGAGACATGATGAACAGACTTGTGAACACGAAAAACAAACATTCTTAACGCCTAGCTGTTAGAGCCCCTCACACACCGAGCAACAATTTCCAAAACTCGCCACATGATAAAAGTCGCACCTCTTCGCGGCGTCTCCCCAACCACCCGAAGGTCACACGAATCGAACAACAACTTTCACTGAAACGAAAAATGAATTCCACCAAGGTGCTGTGTTGTACTCCCCCAGGATAAAAGCTTTGGCCAGCATTTCATCTCGGTGCTACTATGTTTGAACACCAATCCCTACTGCAATAAATCCCAGTCAACAACTCGCTTGATTACCCATCCCCAAACTCCCTCAAACCATAACGAACGGCGTTTGACTAGCAACCTGATCCATATAGTCTCACCACCAAAAAACCCGATCCGCCTTCGAAACCAAAACCGCGACCTCCCGACGACTCAATGGCCTCATGACGCAGCCAACCTCGGTAAAACCCGTATGATGTGATGAAAAACCCGCGGCGGATCCCGTGAAAAACGAGCGCAAACAAAAAACAAGGTATTCGCACGGGGCAAATAGTGGGTCGTTGTATCTGCCCACCACCTGAAAAAAAAATTAGGAAATAAACGACTCGTCGCACACTATCTGTTCCTATTTTCCGTCCCGCACGCCGGGAGGAATAATTTCTCAAGCACGGGATCAATCTCGCGATCCACATCGCATTCCAGCCAGAAAAAAAAAAAAAATGTTGCCATAAAACGAAAATTTGCAAGATTGATTGCACACACAAAATTTTGGCCAATCAATTAATTGCGTGCACCTTTTCTCTCTCTCTCTTCGGCTGCGCCAAAGCAATCCGCCCAGTCCATGCCGCAGAAACGTCCGTCCTCGCAGCACAGCCACCCTTGTGACTGTCTGGCTGCATGACCACACTGACTAGTCAAAACCTCCATGGTGCGAGCCAAATGCTTGCTGCGGGCGGCAAAAACAAACAATCCGTCTGCACCAACCAATACGCACACACTCGCGCTACCTCACCCATACACGAAACATCCAACTCAACACTAACCCCCCCCCAAAAAATGAAGTGATTACGCTCTTGACCCATGAGACAAAGAACAACCAAGACGAAGTAAATCAACCCATGTGGACCTCGGCGGGGATGCCCTGCGTTCGAACGTTCCAAAGTAAGGGGAGGGGCGGCGGGAAAAATAAATTATTAATAGTACAAGTAGATACGAGGGGCGCAAGGGTGAAGCGCGGCCTACGCAGCAGGAGTTGGTGCGAATGCTGTATGTACACCAGCAGCAGTAGCGCTTTCACGTGTGACGAACGCTGAAAATGGTGCTATGCTACGGCTGTCGAAGGCACTACCGGCAGGCACGACCGAGTGCTACACAAAACCTCCAGAGCGCCGAAAACACGCAGCGAAAAAAATCACAAAAAACCAAGCGGATGATTCCTGGGAATTGTTTACACCCACGAAATAACAATGCACACACACGGGGAGACATGCGAAGATAAGGCAGCACAACTTTCGACAGCCACAGCACTGCGCTAGATACAGGAGAGGCAACATTCACAATCCCAACAACGATAGATGTGTCAAAGGAGGGAAAAGAAGCGTGTTTGTGACGCAGTACCTGTCTTCCCATGTTCCTCAAGTGAGCGATGTGGGCGGACATGGCCTCAGCGAACGTGTCGAGGTGGATATACTCCACGCCGTGCTCCTTGCAGACCTCCTTGATGATGGGCGCGATAGCCGGGTAGTGGTACTGGAATATTTTGCCATTGCCAAGGCCAACAACACGACCACAGGGGGAAAGAGCAAACGTGTCACGAACACAACGCTACGCAGAAACGGGTCCACAATCACACGCGCCGCACACATTACATTACCAGAAACGGGTCCACAATCAAGAAAAAACGTCAATTAAAGATGGGTCGAGATTCGATTCTCAAGAATTTCGGCGCCGCGGTCGGCAGATTGCTAGATTAAGTGTGGGATTCACAGCTGAGCTAGCCGTGCTTCTTACAAGAGAAAATGGAAGCTTCGCTTCTGTATGGTGACGAATTCGTCTCAACCGTGTACGTAGCTCCATGTGTGCTCGTCGGAACAAGACGACTTCTTGGGCTGGCTGTGTTCGACCTGGGCAAGACATACATACCAGCAGCTATCCCACCCTACCCTAGCCTAAACCGCTTGGCCAATCGTAGTGCACAACAAACAAAGTAGGCACACTTTTCGCCAAACGCACGACGCAGATTTTTCCCGTAGTGATTCATGTTAGGACGTTTAGCTTTCTTCGGGGTGGGGAGGCGGTGAGGGGCTCCGCACAATGTCGCCAGTATACCAGCGTACCATACCTGGCTGACTCCCGGGAAGAGGTGGTGCGTCACTTGGTAGTTGAGGGCCCCGGACAGGAAGGTGACGAGCTTGCTGCTGTGGGCGTAGTCCACGCAAGATTTAACCTGACCAAAATCATCGGGATCCGGCGGGCGTGGGGGGGGGGCGTGCGAATGTTTTGTTGGGGGCCTTCCCAGGTGTTGGGCAAATGACCACGCGGGCCCCAAAGGGCAGCGCACTATTCCCCCGGGTGAAGGGGGAGGGGGCACTAGTCTGGGAGGGCGGGGGGGAAAAAATATTTAACGTTTTTGCCCCAGGGCCGGCCTGTCCTTTAATGGGCGGGGGGGTTGGTTTTTTTTGTTTTTTGGAACCTCCATGCCGGAACGGCTACGGGTTGAGAGGGGGGGGGGGGGGGGGGGGGCCACCTTTTTTTTGGGTGGGGCTGAATTTTTTACCCTTCACCCCCCCCCCCTTTTAAAAAAGAGAGGGGGGGGGGGGGGGGCCAACCCCCCCAAAAAATATTTTAAACTGGGGGGGGGCT